ACGCCATGATGATTGTTAGGGTCTACCACCCACTTTGCCAGCACTCATTTTGCCCTCTGCTTAGGCTGACTATGAAGGATGAGACGCATGGGTAATCGAAAAGTATATAACCAGTATTACCAAACACCGTGAGCTCAGGGAATCTTTTGAGAGCTCAGAGTGAAAACTATGAAGGGGAAACTTTGCCCTCCTCTCCCATACTTTCCAAGGCACATTCTGCACCAGCTGAGGGGATTCCCAGTCCACAGAAATCACTGATGTCCTCCTGCTCACTTTTTAGAAAATTTCTTCTAAGCACAACAGTTTCCGGGAAAGCATTTTTTCCTTGGTCTATGCTCATTAGTCTGTCAGGGCAGACTGTTCCTTTTCTTATGGTTGTCTTTTTTGGCCTGATGCCATAATCAGAGGCTTAAAGATAAATCAATAGCAACTGAAACAGAAACTAAAGCGGGATACTTCCTTGACTTTCATTTTCTTTCAAAACTATACTCAGATCAGTGAATTCTAGGAAAGTTAATATACCATAAACCTTGCAAAAATTGAGAGAAATATATAAAAAGAGTTATCATTTAGATTTTTATTTAAATGACACATGCAGTCTTGGTTTTGGGTGAAATAAGTAATAGTGGTCTTGCTACTGTCTCTAAAAGTTTGGTTTTTTTTCTAAATGATTTTTCCATGCTGATCACATTTGTCAGGTTTCTACCCTGAGCAGACCCCTCATTTAAAACAAGAAGAGAAGGGTCCTTTGTTTGACTCTGCTCACCATGCACTGTTCTGATACTAATTCAATTTCATAGGTAATCTGATCCTGGGAAAGGGGTGACTTGGATACCAAAACCAATCATCCTACTCACTGAAAAAGTTCTCATTGTAAATGGATACACAGTCTTTTAATTTTCATCTTAGTTTCTTTTAGATTTTGTTAGCAGAGTTAACTCTCTGGGAATATGCTTACCGTGGATGACTAGGAAAAATGAGAATTTCTGGACTAGAAAAACTAAGGACCAGATTTTACAGAATCCTAACAAGGCATTATCACTCCTATGAGACCACCAATCTTCCTGACTGGTTAGTTGGCTTCCCCCTTTGCCATTTTTTAATGACATTTATCTGTAATTGCACAAGCTTTCCTCTCCTGGCCACTTATTTAAGTAAGATTCACACTTTATGGCTCATCTGAGGTCTTTTTTTCTGAAGGATCTTCTGAAAACTTCTGACCTTAATGAGTACGTATAGTCTCCTATGAACCTCCATGTTATTTATTTTCTATACCACTCATTTGGTACTGATCATAAAGTTTTTTTTCTTTTCTTTTCTTTTCTTTTTTTTTTGAAATGGAGTTTCACTCTTGTTGCCCAGCCTAGAGTGCAATGGTGTGATCTCGGCTCACTACAACCTCTGCCTCCAGGGTTCAAGCGATTCTCCTGCCTCAGCCTCCCACGTAGCTGGGATTACAGGCACCCACCACCACGCCCGGCTAATTTTTTGTATTTTTAGTAGAGACAGGGTTTCACCATGTTGGCCAGGCTGTTGTTGAACTCCTGACCTCAGGTGATCCGCCTCGGCCTCCCGAAGTGCTGGGATTACAGGCGTGAGCCACCATGCCTGGCCCATAAAGTTTCTCTTATTGATATTTATTGTTTCATAGTTTTTGGTCTTCCCAATTAGAATGTAAACCCGTCAAGGATAAATATTGGATCTTATCCCTTCTAGTATTCCCTGAGATTAGCTTAGTTCCCTACACAAAGTGCACAGAAAATAATGAGAACAAGTCTACTTCTCCTTCTTCTAACACTGTCCATGGCCATATACATAAGATGCACTGAGGAGATTTGCATTCCTGCATTCATTCATTCAATCCTTAATTACAGATAAAAAGCAGTGAATAATTAAGAAGCTTTTAGGGGCACCACTCTATATTTACCAGAGTTCTTGGAATGAAGAGTCTGTCCTATAGCTAGCTGAGAATATCTGTATTGATTTTACCTAACTAAATCTAAACTAACTTCTGGGGAAATTATAGTCTTCTTAAATTAAACTTGGTTCTTAAAGCTAAGGAAAACAATAATACTCATGTCCAAATTCAGAAATCTGATGAACCAATGGAAATACTTCTTGAAATACAATCCTTGTGTGCTGTTACTTAAAGTCTGTAAAGATTCATTCATCTACCCTTCTATCCAATATTTACCAAATGCCTCTCATATGCATTTCAGTTCCCTGTTCTCCTGGGGCATACATTTTAGTGTGGAGAAACAGACATTACACTAAAAAAAAAATGAACTGAATATCAAATAGTATGAAATGCCATGTAGAGAATTAAAGTCACGTCTGCTTCAGATTGTGTGACAAAAGAAGGTACAAGCCAGCTAAAATCTAAATGTCCAGAAGGAACACTCTATGTGACAAACAGGAGGAAAAGCATTCCAGATGGAGAAAACTGCCAGTGTATGGGCCACTGACCGGATTGTAGTGGTTGAGAAGGAATGATATGAGGTTGGACAAACAGGTAGCACCCAGATCATAGAGGACTTAGTAAAGCAGCTTAATTAGAAATTTGGATTTTATTCTAAGTGGAAGTTGTTTGAGGTCTTAAGCAGCAGAGTGACATGATCACTTAGGTTTTTAAAATAAAAAAAGTAAGTGATCATGTTCCACTGCTACATATGTACCCCACAAAATGAAAGCATATGCCCAGAAAAAAAATTACACAAAAATCTTCGTGGCAGATTTATATATAATAACTAAAATCTGAACACAGTCAAGGTGTCCATCAACAAGAAACAAACTGATATGTTTGTGCAATGGATTACTATTCATCAATAAAGAGAAACAAATTACTAATTCATGAAACTACATTGATGAATCTAAGAAACATACTGAGCAAAAGATGTCTTGCACAAAAGAGTATATACTTAAGTGGTTCTATTTATATGAAGTTCTAGAACAGGTAAAAATAATCTATGGTGAAAAAAATAGAAGAGTGGCTGGGTCAGGATAGAAATTATAAGGATAAAATGAGTCAACATGGTCAATATTCATAAAGCAGTTCAAACAATGTCTGGCACACAGTTAATGTAATACAATGTTTAGTAAAAATCAAATATTTTATCCCTAATAACAGATTTTTAGTCCATTTATCAAGTATCTCCTTTTTACATTGTCTTCTATATAGAGACATCTTAGCTGACAACTCAGATACTAACTAAAATAAAACCATCACCATCTCTTGTTTTGACTGGTTAATCTTCAACTTTTCCGGGCCTCTTCCATTAATGATGTCAGACATTTCTCTGAAATTTGTTGGCATTCTATTCACAGGCAAATGTTTGTTCTGCATAAATAGACATGGAAGAATCCTTCATCAGAAGGAACGCCTCTTTGCTAGGTGAAAGTCTTTCGGGTTCTGTCAGTCTCTACCTCACCTCCCTCTCTTTTGTCTTTCCAGTTTCCCACAGCTAATTCTGCTGACTTATTCGCTTGAAAGCTTAGCTCTATTCCAGTCCCTAGAACAGATTAACATGGGATTCAGCTCTCTAGCAAACTCCATTTTCCCCAAGCAACTCACTCTCTGTTCCAATGATGAAGTTCCTGCATTTGAGGATCCAAGTCTTGTGTGTGCCCAGTTTGCAGATATAGGCTTTATTCTTGGCCCCTGATACCAGGTTCTGAGACAGTATCTGCCAGGTACAGTAGCCTCATCCTAGGATGGAAGCTTTTCCATTCCCTGACCAATCCCTGCATTGTTGCAGCCCAGCTGACTATGAAAAGAACTCCCATATATTTTCCTAGGTTCTAAATATCACTTGCCTCAGATCTCTCATTGCAGGGTGGTGCCTGCTTTTGAAACAGTAATTCATCTTGGATTCCCTGTTATTAATCATTCGCAAAGAACACAACCAAGGACCACTATATCCATGGATTCTGTTAAATTTCCACTTTCAGGTTCAACATGTGTTCCATTATATGAGTATCACGTGTTTCTACTGCTAGCTACTATAAATAATCAGCCAAGTACTATTGAATGCTAAGAAATTAAGTTTTGCCACAATTCATCATCCAGTTAAAATTGTGCCAATTTCAGTTATCATTGTTACTAGCTCAATGGCTGACACTTTTTTTCTTTTCCTTTGCATTTAACAGTCTCTTGCAGCTGAACCCCATCTTAAATCAACCTGTTTCCCTCCTGTCTCAAGCTGCTTTCCCAAAGTCTGTCTCTATGCATACCTCCCCTTTTAAATTCATTTCCTCAAAAAGCACCCTTTGTTTTTTACAATAACCCTAAGATAGCTATGAATCCTTTTCTCCCACCATCCTAGATACCATCTTATGATGTTTTCATTCAGGGACTGTTGTAGGACATGAAACTTGTTTTAACACACCAGAAATTAGATACCCAAATGAGCAGTGCTTTCCCTCAAAATAGTTATGTTGGAGGCTGTTTACTTAATCTAATGGTGTTATGAATGAACAAAGCATTTATTGAATTATTTAAAACTTGCCAGTTCCATATCTTTGACCTTGTCTGAGCAAGCCAATCCTATTACTTTATAGTATTTGATCAAGGAGCACTGTCCAGGTAAATCACTGTTCTAATAATCAGGCACAACTTCCTGTTACCAAAAAATTAGGTTTACCTATAAAGGATGAAAATTTTCTATTACTGGGGATATTTTTAAAAATAGCCTCTGAAATTAACTATAAAAGTTTAAGTGTTGAGAAAAAGCATAGTTAGAATGGATTGCAACCTTTGTTTTTTTCTATATGCAATGAAGTTCTTTTTTTCAAGAAACAGTTCATGTTTTGGAAAGTGAAACCTAATTCACTATTACCAAAAAAAAGAGGGGCAGAGGGAAATTCCATAACTTGTAGGCTACAATAAATAAACATAATACCTTCGATTTTGCAACATGGGACTTCCCCAGGAACAGCCAGCAGGTTTTGCTAAGTCAACTGTAATGTTATCCAATCAGAATTAGGGAGGGAAAATGCCTTTGCAGATAAATACGGCACACTCGCCTCACGTTTTCTGAGACATTCCTCAACTGCTTAGACATATTCTGAGCCCGCAGCAGAGGAATCTCCAGTCTCAGCACCATGAATCAAACTACCATTCTGATTTGCTGCCTTGTCTTTCTGACTCTAAGTGGCATTCAAGGTAAGGAACATCAAAGGATACTTAATTTGTAAAATGAGAAATAGGAATAGGTATAAATTCTAAAAATACAGAAATAATGTATTTGTAAAAGTTTCACTGCATGTTTATAAATAAGAGGGAAATAAATAGAGATTCCTTCAGATCATAAAACTTATATGAATTGAAGTGAGAAAAACAAATAGAATAAGAGAAAGAGAAGGAAAAAGGGAAGGAGGACAGAAGAGATGGGGAAGAGGGAGGATAGAGAGAGAAAATGAGGGAATGCGGAGAGAGATGAGATAGATACTTCCTTACCTAACTAAGCTCAATGAACCACATGAACGGTGTTTAAGGGTTTGACTTTATAATCAATAAGCTGCAATTCTCTTCTTCCAGATAAACAACTATTTAATCATTTACAATTGTGTTATGATGCGATTCATTCCTCCTCAGATTAAGTGACTGTTTGCTAATATGGGGATATAGGTTCTGCTAAATACCACCAGTCTACATTAGATGTCTAACATGAATACTGTGCTAACTTTCTCTGCTGTTCCTTTCTCTTTTCCTACAGGAATACCTCTCTCAAGAACTGTACGCTGTACCTGCATCAGCATTAGTAATCAACCTGTTAATCCAAGGTCTTTAGAAAAACTTGAAATTATTCCTCCAAGTCAATTTTGTCCACATGTTGAGATCATGTGAGTGAAATCTCATCTGATTATCACTTCCCTGGTTGTAATTATATACTGTATTAAATATGTAATGATAACAACAAAAGATCAGTAAGGGTTTATGATGATTCTAAAACTAATATACAGCAAACAAAAACATGCAGAGTGAAACTTAAATGTCGGACTTCAGAACTGTGTATGCCATCTTTTTTATTGACCCAACATTGTTTTAAATATTTTCATCCCTATTTATTTCTGCAGTGCTACAATGAAAAAGAAGGGTGAGAAGAGGTGTCTGAATCCAGAATCTAAGGCCATCAAGAATTTACTGAAAGCAGTTAGCAAGGAAAGGTAGGTTTGCTTTTGCTTGCAGAATTGCTCTTAGGAAATGGCAATCTTGGGAGTCAGAAATACTTGCATTGTGGTTTGCTTTGCAATCACTTGTTTAAAAGTATGTTACCACCATGCCCTCTCCTACCTCCATTTATTTAAATGCTGAGGCACCATCTTATGTGGTATTAGAAGTTACCCTGATTACCTGTCAACCTTAAAGTACAGCTATAACTATCTAAGCAAAACTGACACATTTTCCCCAAGTCTTTCATGGCTTTAAAAAAAAGCAACCCCTGTAATCCATAATGAATGCATAGCAGCAGGAAAGCTCATCACATCCTTTACCTGAGGATCTTTGGGTTATCTATGAGCTAAATATGTTCCAAGCAAAACCCAGTCTGAAGTCAGAGTCTGAATATCACACTTTTATGTCCCCTTTCTCTTCTTACAGGTCTAAAAGATCTCCCTAAAACCAGACGGAAACAAAGTGCTGCCAAGGATGGACCACACAGAGGCTGCCTCTCCCATCACTTCCCTACATGGAGTATATGTCAAGCCCTAATTGTTCTTAGTTTGCAGTTCCACTAAAAGGTGACCTATCATGGTCACCAACTCAGCTGCTCCTACTCCTGTAGGAAGGTCAATGTTCATCATCCTAAGCTACTCAGTAATAACTCTACCCTGGTACTATAATGTAAGCTGTACTGAGGTGCTATCTTCTTAGTGGATGTGCCAAGTCCTAACCCTGCTTCCAGTATTTCCCTCACCTTTCCCATCTTCCAAGGGTACTAAGGAATCTTTCTGCTTTGGGGTTTATCAGAATTCTCAGAATCTCAAATAACTAAAAGGCAATCAAAATGATAATACAATCTGCTTTTTAAAGAATGCCCTTTACTTCATGGACTTCCACTGCCATCCTCCCAAGGGGCCCATATTCTTTCAGTGGCTACCTACATACAATTCCAAATACATACAGGAGGGTAGAAATAGCTGAAAATGTATGTGTAAATATTCTTATTTAATGAAAGACTGTACAAAGTAGAAGTCTTAGATGTATATATTTCCTATATTGTTTTCAGTGTACATGGAATAACTTATGTAATTATGTACTATGTATCAACGAGTAACAGGAAAATTTTAAAAATACAGATAGATATATGCTCTGCATATTATGTAAGATAAATGTGCTGAATGGTTTTCAAAATAAAAATGAGGTACTCTCCTGGAAATATTGAGAAAGACTATCTAAATGTTAAAAGACCAAAAGGTTAATAAAGTAATTATTAACTAAGATGAAGTGTCTTGTGTGTCACTTGGTTGGGATATTTATTTCATAAGAAATTTAGATTGGAGAATCCATGGCCTGGAGAAGGCGGGATGGGCAGAAGACAAATGAGTTAGAGAATTACCACTCACTCTCCTTCCAACTGTAATCTCCTGAAAGGCTCATCATATAAGATCCCACAGAACTAATGTAGCATAACAGAGCTTGGCCTAATCTCCAAACCCCTATAGTCAGATTTCTTTTTTTTTTTTTCAATCTCTTATTTTTTTAGACACAGGGTCTTCCTCTGAGTGCAGTGGTGCAATCGTAGCTCAGTGCAGCCTCAAACTCCTGGGCTCAAGTAATCCTCTGACCTCAGCCTCCAGAGAAGCTGGAATTACAAGTGCAAGCCACCACATCCAGCCCAATAGCCAAATTTCTCTAAGACGTCTCCACTTGAATATCCCATAGGAACTTTAAACTCCGAATTAATTCTCCTCTCCTGGAGATGTTTCTCCCCCTCTATTCTATGTCCTAGTTTAACTGTACCATCATCCAATCAGTTTCCCAAACTAGAAACCTAGGAGCAATTCTATACTACTTCTTCTTCCCCTCCCACATCCAATTACTTACTAAGAAGATCTTCACAATACATTTAGTTGGCAAATTATTAGCATCTAGAATATGCAAAGAATCTCCATAGATCAAAAAGGAAAAGACAAGGCTGGGTGCCGTGGCTCATGCCTGTAATCTCAGCACTTTGGGAGGCCAAGGCAGGAGGATTGCTTGAGCTCAGGAGTTTCAGACCAGCCTGGCAACACAGTGAGACCCGGTCTCTACCAAATTTTTCTTTTAACTCAGGAGACTGAGGCAGGAGGATCACCTGAGCCCAAGGGTCTGGGGTTACAGTGAGCTATGACTGCACCACTGCACTCCAGCTTGGGCAACCGAGTGAGACCTCATCTCTAAAAGAAAAAAAAAAAAAAAGAAAAGAAACAGAAGTGAGTAAGAATTTAGAATTTCACAGAAGCATAAGACCCTAACATGCAAAGATGTTCAACCTCATTTGTAATCAAGGAAATGTACATTCAAATCATTATGAAATAACATTTCACACCACTAAATTGGCAAACCTTTTAAAGTTAGATAATAGCAACCATTACCAAGGATGCAAGGCAATGAGGAATGCGCTTCCACTGCTGATGAAAGAAAAAATAGCTATGACTACTCTGCAAAACAGTTTGGCATTATCTCATAAAGCTAAACACTGGCATACCCCATGTTCCAGCAATTCTACTCCTCTGTATATACCACAGATACTCTTGCAGGTACTTTTTTTTTTTTTTTTTTTTTTTTTTTTTTTTGAGACGGGGTCTTGCTCTATCACCCAGGCTGGAGTGCAGTGGCACGATCTCAACTCACTGCAACCTCTGCCTCCTGGGTTCAAGCGGTTCTCCTGCCTCAGCCTCCTGAGTAGCTGGGACTACAGGCACACGCCACTATACTCAGCTAATTTTTGTATTTTTAGTAGAGACAGGATTTCACCGTGTTGTCCAGGATGGTCTCCATCTCCTGACCTCGTAATCCACCCACCTCAGCCTCCCAAAGTGCTAGGACTACAGGCGTAAGCCACCGTACCTGACCAAGAATTGCTTTTTTATCAGATTGAATTTTTTTTTGTTTAATGAGCTTCAATGTACAGTACACTGACCATCTTCCCAGAAACAGTAAAATCTGTTGTAGTATAATTTTAACATAGTTCATTCAATTGCAAGTACATAGTTTAATTTTTAATAATGACTGTATTTAAAAACTAACTCACATAATTCATGAAAATCTAACCATTAGCTCTCCCTAGCCAATGAGCCATCAGCAGAATAGTACTGCTTTTATTCCCTGTAAATATTCTACTTTTCTTTTTTACTCCTTTCCTAAGTATTCCAAAAACACACTTGGTTCTAATCTTTTTTATATTTTTCATCTTTTGGGACCATTTTTTTTCCCATGACTTCATTGGATTACTTCCTTTCTGGAATATGTTCTTTTTTTTTCTTTTTCCTTGAGATGGAATCTCACTCTGTCACCCAGGCTGGAGTGCAAATGGCGTGATCTTGGCTCACTGCAACCTCCACCTCCCAGGCTCAAGCAATCCTCCCACCTCAGCCTCCCAAGTAGCTAGGACCACAGGCGTGTGCCACCACACCTGCTAAATTTTGGGGGGTATTTTTGGTAGATAATACAAACATGAGGCTTCGCCAGGTTGACCAGGCTCGTCTCGAACTTCCGAGCTCAGGTGATCTACCCACCTCGGCCTCCCAAAATGCTGGGGTTATAGGCATGAGCCACCATGCTTGGCTCTGGCATATGTTCTCCATTTGCTTTGTTCAGATTCACTCCTATGTGGCAGTGTAAAACACAGTAAACTTGGCATTCCATTTGTAGCACAGGGAGACTTTTCATGGCATACTACTTTGTATTTAACACTTCTTGAATTTTTTTTCTTTCCAACTTTTATTTTAGGTTCAGGGAGTACACATGCAGGTTTGTTACATGGGTAAATTGTGTGTTGTGGGGGTATGGTGTATAGATTATTTCATCACCCAGGTAATAAGAATAGTACCAGATAGGTCGTTTTTGGATCTTCATCTTCCTCCCAACCCCCACTGTCAAGTAGGTCCCAGTATCTATTGTTCCCTTCTTTGTGTCCATGGGTACTCAATGTTTAGTTCCCACTTATAAGTGAGAACATGCAGTATTTGGTTTTCTGTCCATGTGTTAATTCGTTTAGAGTGATGGCCTCCAGCTTCATCTGTATTGCTGCAAAGGATATGATTTTGTTCTTCTTTAGTATTCCATAGTGTATATGTACCACATTTTCTTTATGAAGTCCACCATTGATGGGCATCTAGGTTGGTTCCATGTCTTTGCTATTGTGAATAGGGCTGTGATGACATACGTGTGCACATGTCTTTATGGCAAAATGATTTACATTTCTTTCGGCATATACCCAGTTATGGGATTGCTGGGTTGAATGGTAGTTCTATTTGAAGTTCTTTGAGAAATCTCCAAGCTGCTTCTCAAAGTGGCTGAACTAACCAGTACCTCTTTCAGTGATATGAAGTTAAAACCAGGTCGGAAAGATGGTCTTAAATTGCCAATGCCACCCCTCTCCCTTCCCCTGGCAGTGGCCATGTGGCACAGAAAGATAATCTGTGTGCTTGGGGGAACCCAGTGCTGCTCTGTCAGAGTGGAAAGCAAAATTAGGCTGACCTCAGTTGATGCCCATGGAGGGAGCATTTAGACCAGCCCTAGGCAAAAGGGAATTACCCATCCTAGTTGTTAGAAGTTGAGTTTTGGCAAGCCTTGCCTCCACTGGCTACAGTGCTCTGGGGTCCTAAATAAATCTGAAAGGCAGTCTAGGCCACAAGGATTGCAACTCCTAGGCAGTCCTAGTGCTGTGCTGAAGAGCCAGCAGACTTCGGGGGTGCACAACCTAGTTGGGGGAACATGACCTAGTGAGACACCAACCAGGGCAGCACAGAGAGTGCTTGCACCACCCTTCCCAATCCCAGGCAACACAGCTCACAGCAATAAAAGTGACTCCTTCCTTCTGCTTGAGGAGAGGGAAGAGTAAAGAGGACTTTGTCTTGCAACTTGGATACCAGTTCAGCCACAGTAGGACAGGGTGCTGGGCAGGGTCATGAGGCCCCTAATCAAGGCCCCAGATCCTGGATGACATTTCTAGACATGCCCTGGGCCAGAAGGGAACCTGCTGCCTTGAAGGGAAGGACCCAGTGCTGGTAGGATTCATCACCTGCTGACTGAAGAGCCCTTGGGCCCTGAATTACCAGCAGCAATACCCAGGTAGTACACAGTGGGCCTTGGGTGAGACTCAGACAGGCTGGCTTTAGGTGAGATCCAGCACATTCCCAACTGTGGTGGTTATAGTGAGAGATTCCTTCTGTTTGAGAAAAGTAGAAGGAAAAGTAAAGGGGACTTTTTCTTGAAGATAGGTACCAGCTCAGCCACAGTGGAGCAGAGCACCAAATGGGCTCTTGGGTCCCCAATTCCAGCCTTGGCTTAGATGGCATTTCTGGACCTGCCCTGGGCCAGAGGGAAGCTCACTGCCCTGAAAAGTGAGTCCCAGGCTGGGCAGCATTCACCATAAGCAGACTGAAGAGCCCTTGGGCCTTAAGTGAACATTGGTGGTAGGTAGCCTGGCAGTGCATCCCATGGGCCTGTGGTGACGGGCATGAATAAAAGGCTCCTCTGCCTCTGGAAAGGGGAGGGAGGAATGGGAAAGACTTTGTCTCATAGTTTGAGTGTCAGCTTAGCCACAGCAGAATAGTAGATATCTAAGGTTTTTTGACTCCAGTTCCTGGCTCCCAGACAGCATCTCTGTGCCCATCTGGTGCCTGGGAAAACTTGCTGCTTGCAGGGAAGGATATAAGCCTGGCTGACTTTTCCACATGCTGATGGTAGAGCTGCAGGGCCTTGAGCAAACACAGATGGTAGCCAGGCAGTGGTTACAGTGACATGCCTTGGGTGAGACCCAGTGCTGTGCTGGCTTCAGGTCTGACCCAGCACAATGCCAGTGGTGGTAGCCACAGGGGTGCTTAGTGTCACCCCAACCCCAGCCCCAAGCAGCTCAGCACAGAGAGAGAGACTTCATTTGTTTAGGAGAAACTAAGGGAAGAGAACAAGAGTCGGCCTGGTAATCCAGAGAATTCTTCCACATCTTATCTAAGACCACCAAGGAGGTATCTCTTTGTGTCTGCAAGAACTACAGTATTACTGGGTTTTGGGTATTCCTAATGTAAATATGGCTTAGACAGCAATGCTCAAGTATCTTCAAATATCTGAAAATATGTCTGGCAGCAAACTTTTCAGTGGAAACCTTACAGGCCAGGATAGAATGGCATAACATATTTAAAGTGCTGAAGAAAAAGCATTTAACCTAGAATAGTATATCCAGTGAAAATATCCTTTAGACATGAAGGATAAAGACTTTCCAAACTCATTCTATAAG